ATATGTACTATACAATAAAAGCTTCAAAATGAATGAGGAAATTTCCTATTTCCAGAAACATATGCTTTATTTTTTTTTTATTTTCAACGTTTTCAATGACTGAATAGATGTTTCTTTCTGAATAATGAAAATACAATCCCCATATCAATTATAAGCTTAAGGGAATCTGCTTTACTTCCTGGCTGGTTGTGCTATTATTTTCTGCAACAGAGGAAGATGATTGAGCAACATGAAATTTCTGTATATAATTTATGGAGGAAATTGGAGTTTGATGAGCTGCAAACAGCACTGTTTAAATTTATAAATACATACAATTTATCCATTTGCAAATTCTTTATTAAAAATGTGACTTTTTTTAAAGTATGGATTTTTTTTACCCTGTTAGTTATGCTGAAATCAATGCAAATGTAAATTTTTGGTACATAAAGAGAGGATATATACGTCTAATGTGGCTAAAAGTTTATTTGAATCATCTTGGTCCAACTGAAATTTCTGTCCATAGAAATGCTTTAAAATTTGCATTGTCTAGTATGGTAGCCATTAGCAATACATTTCTACTGAGCATTGAAATGTAGCTAATGTGACTTAGAAACTAAATTTTTCATTTTATAATAAATTTAATTTAAATAGTCATAGGTGGCTTGTGGTTACTGTATTGGACAACACGGAAATAGAGAAAACTTTTACTCCAACTTTTTAAAAATTGATATATAGTAATTTTCATTAGAATTCTAGGTCGGATCTCTCAAAATCTGAGCCAAGTAGAGGGTTAAACACAGTTGGCAAATTTGTGCAGTGTGATATTTAAAGTCATAGCATTCAAGTTCAACTTGAGTGTGTCAATTTTTGCTATTTATTGTTTGATCTTTTAATGACTTGGTCTCTGGTTTACCCTATTTACATTTAGATGTAAAGTGAGGTAATTTAATATATTTGGAAAGAATTTTACTCAAAAGGCAATTTTCCATGAGAATTTGTGATAAATAGATCAGAGACCTAAATCCACCAAACAATTCATCGAGTTGCACAGTCAGAAACCTAAGCATCATATCTGATACATAATTTAGCAACTCAACATATCCAGATCCACTCAATCATAAAACCCATGGATTATTCCACCTAAATACATAGAGTAATTTCTATCTCCACTGCCATTTCACCAAATAGAATCATATAATCCAAAAATGTTCTCATCTCTCACTGGAATAATATAATTTCTGTTTTCTTCCTCCCCACCCCCACAATTCAGGTTTATTTTTACTATACTGAAAGCTGACTTGCCATCAAATTACCAAGAAACCGTCAACAGCTTTCTATTACCCTTATGATAAAACCAATCTTTGTTACTCTAATCAAATATGCCCTTCAGAAAGTATAATTTATTTTCTCCACTGTGTCATATATGTAGAATATTTAAAATGTTAAAAAAATAGATTCATCAAGCAGAAAGGATCCTTACTAGTCAAGCAAGGAGATCATTTATGGAAAGGATAGGGAAAGCAGTTCTCATTAGATGTACATAATACAAATTGCAATGAAGCTTATTAAAACTTTAATTGGTGAAAACTGATTTGATAGTTAGTATTAATGCATTCTAGTGTATTCTGGAAAAATTCTAAGAACTTCCTCTATTGTACACATCTCCATTTCTTTGCTTTAATGCTTCTATATAATCTGCTTTATATTTCCTCTATGTAATCTGGCTTTTATGTTCTAATCACTTTATCGAACATCTCTCAAAACGAATACTAATAATCACCATGTTGCTAAATTCAATTAAGTATTTCTTTCCCATTTTATCTGACTTCAGTATAATTTGGCATAATGATTTCTCTCTTTTTGGAACTTTTTCCTTTGTGTATAGCATATCACACTTGATTGTTTTTTTCTTTTATCACCATAGACTTTTCTCTCTTTTAAAATCCCATCTTTTCTCCATAAATCCATGTCAGAGTTTCTCAATTATATTTGTTCTAGCAATCTTTTCTTTTTCATTCTATATTATCGAACCAGGAAATGACATACATTTCCACGGTATCAACTGCCTAAGTGTTTCTAACTTTCAAATAGATATATCCAATTCTGACCGTCCAAGCTCTAAATCCACTTGTTCATGTGTCTTCTTGAAATATCCGTTTGGATAACTAAAACATCTATAACTAGGTCAACAGAAATAAGTTAAGGATCCTTCCCTGTCATTCCCAAACAGGATTCTCACCCAGGAATCACTATTGATTAAATTGAAAAACAATTGATCCAGTTGCACAGTTGGAAACCTAAGCATCATATCGGACGCATAGTTTAGCAACTCTAACACATCCAGATCCACTCATTCATAACAATCTGTGGATTATTCCACTTAAATACATAGAATTCTATCGCCACTGTCGTTTCCTCAAGCAGAATCATACAATCCAAAAATGTTCTCATCTCTCTGAGACCACTGGAATAATATAATTTCCCAGTTTTCTTTTTTCTTTTTCTTTTTTACTATATGGAAAGCTGACTTGCCATCTAATTACTAAGAAACCTTCAACAGCTTTCTATTACCCTTACGATAAAACCAGCATCCTTAAAATAGTCTACTAAAATCTGCATACACTGTTTCTTATATAATATGCATGTAGCAAATTATAAATTGCATACTATTAGTTATGAGCAAAAATATATCCTGTCCTCGGTAAGCTTGCTGATTAGAAAAGAGGAAATATATCAATTAAATAATTTACAAATGTAAAAATGCAACTACGAACAGTATTAAAAACTCCATAGAGCTTTGTGAATATGTGATAAAGGGGCTTTAAAAGTGAAGGAAGGCTTGATCAATGCCTGAAAAATTTGAGCAGAAATCTAAAGGAAGATGAAATAACTACAACTCACTGAAGGATCAGATGACAATTAGAACTTTTTAGCAATAAAGTTTTTTTAATTAAGGCATGTACATTGTTTTCTTAGACATAATACTATGGCATACTTAAAAGACTATCCTACACAATATAGGATAAATATAACTTATATTTACTGAGAAACCTAAAAATTCATGTAACTAACTTTATTGTGGTATCTATTTTATGGTGGTGATCTGAAACTGAACTCAGTATCTCTGAGGTATGCTTATATATATTTAAAAAGTGACTCCAGCATTGCTTTAATTATCTTTAGCATGGCATATTTTTTCCATCCTTTTACTTTCATATATTTGTATCTTTATATTTAGTTCATTTCTTAATTATTTTTCTTTTGTATTCAATTTGATAATCTCTACCTTTTGAGTATCTAAACCATTTTCATTTAATGTAATTATTCATATGAGACCCATTTAAAGAGTAAACTGAATGACATTTTAGATAGGATTGGGCAATCTTCCCCCAAATCTAATTTTAGAACATTTTCATTTACCCATCCCTCAAAAGAAACCCTGCTTCTATTTATAGCCCCTTCCCATAACCTAGTCATCTCCCCCACAACTGACAGCCCCCAGCCCTGACAACCACTAAACTACTTTCTCTGTTGCTTTACATTTGCTTAATTCAGAAATTTCATATAAATAAGATTATAAAAATAAAATAGATGTGCTCTTTTGTTACTGGTTTCTTTAACAGCATATTTTCAAAGTTTATTCATGTTTTAGCATGTTTAGTACCTTAGTCCCTTTTATTGCTGACAAATACTCTACTGAATAGAGATATTGTTTTTTCCTTCACCTGCTGATGGGCATTTGAGTTGTTTCTACTTTTTGGCCCTCATAAATAATGCTGCTATGGATGTGTGTACGAGTTTCTGTGTGCATTTTCATTTTTCTTGAATAGATACCTAAGTTGAATTGTGATTAACATTACGATTTAAAATTTAGAGGAACTATGAAACTGTTTTCCAAAGCAGATGCACCATTTTACATGCCCACCAATGTGAGCATTCCACTTTCTCCATATCCTTATCTTTTATCTTTATTATAGTTCTGCATATCTTTTTGAACATATGAAATAGTTATAAAAAGTTTTAATGTCCTTGCATGTTCATTCTAACATCTATTTCTATTCTGACAGTTACAGATTTTTTCTCAGTGCAGGTTTTCCTTTCTTCCTTTTTTGCAAGCTTGGTAATTTTTAACTGGTTGTCGGGCATTGTAAACTGTGCCTTATTGGTGACTGGACAGTTTTGCATTACTATAAATATTATTGAAATATGGCCTGTCATATATTTCAGTGATTTATCAACACATTGATGCACTTAGGTCTTGCTTTTAAGATGTTAGGTGACACTACAGCAATGACCAGCCTGATGTTGATTATTCTCTACAACTAAGACTTGACCTCTGTACTCTATCAAATGCTCCATGGATTAAGTTTTTCCAGCTTGACTAGTGGATACCATTTAGGATCATGATTTCTGACCCTAAATGAACTCTAGGAATCTTTAAAACTGAGTTGAACACTTGAGAAAACTGCAGGACTCTCGAGTTCTCTTTCTGAGCAACTCTCTCCTATAGCTGCTGAGAACATTACCTGCCTCGGTCCCCCCAAAATTTCAGCTCAGTCTTGTCAACGCAGGTTACTATGCTGGGCTCTGTTTGGGTTCTCTCACCCTGCACCACCTCCTGGAAAATCTTTAAAGACTTTTGTACGCTATTTGAGCAGATCCATTTGTTCCCTGTTTCCAGGATCACTGTTCCTCGATACTGATGCCAAGTGTCTTGGAAGACATACCCAATGTTCTTTTCCTACCGCGGTAGAATTTTTTTTTTTTCTTTTTAATAAAGTTAATGCGGAGTGTTTCGCCGAAATCCAAACTCAAAGCAAAGCTTCTCCTTCTTCCGCGTAAAGAACCCGGCCCTGAGCCGCCTAGTAAGCTCACGCTCCACCTCCAGTCTCCAGCAACGCCTACGGGCTAGCGCGCAAGCGCAGAACTGCTCTCCCGCCCTCTTCGTCTATAATTGCGCCTGCGCCAAACAGCACCTGCCAATGAGAGAGCACCATGGTCCTTAATTCCCGCCTATTGTCTGGGCAACCAGTCGCCTGCCCTGGCGCGCATTTCGCTGTATATCCAAAGAAGACAAAAGGATTGGGAAGGTCAGAGCTGAAAAGCGGCGCAGTTAAAAATGGAGGCGGCGGACACCCAGGCAGAGGCTGCCGCCCTAGAGTAAGTGTCTGCCGCCAGGTGGCACCTGGGGGGCGGGCCAGGGCGGACCTTGATAGGCCCCGAGTACATTGGACGATCCTCTGGGCACCTTATAGTTGTTGGAGTTCTACGACGCAGTGACGTGATCATGACCCCAGGTCCCAGTCTTAGGTTCCTAAGGTGTACGGCCTATGAGGGATCTCCTACGGGCGTGTTCTGAACGGACACAGTTCCTACTCTGTCAGACCCTCCCATTTCTTCACAGATAGTACCTTGCTAACGGGAGACATCCTGGAAGGGCCATTTAATTACTGTCTCCACTGTCCTATTTTCATTGGGTTATTTTATCTTGATCCCTGCCTTCTACTGGATCTCTCCAGCCCCTAACAAGGAAGAACTGGAGAGCCTAGACCTAGGCATCCAGCCCCCTATCCTGAGCCCCTCTCCAAGTATTCCGAGAACCTGCCCCAAGGTTAATGCTTTCTGCCTGGAGGGCTCCCCACTCCCCATCAGTTTTGCCTTTATTTTTTTCTTTACCTGTATATTTCCCTGACTGCTTTCAGATCTTGACCCAAATGGTTTCTCTTCGGTGTAATACTCTATTTAAAATCACAGTCCCTACCACACACTCCTTACTCCCCTTGCTCTGCTTATTTTTCCTCATGATACTTATTACCTCCATATATCCTCCATTCACATACCATTTCTGGTCCCATTAGTACTATGTGTAGATACTGGTCAAGGCAAGACTCTCAGCATTGATACATACATCTACATATGTGCCATGTATACACAAGCTCCCCACATTAGCACCCAGGAATCTGCATTTTCCCCTGTTTCTTGCCCTTTCAGGGTCCTGGCCAAGCTGGCAGACATCCTAGAGCCTACAGGCTTGCAGGAAGAGGCAGAACTGCCCGCCCAGATCCTGGCTGAGTTCGTGATGGTATGTTCAAAATGGGAGCCAGCCTTTCAGAAGCCAGTGACTGCTCCTGGGTCCTATTGAACTTGGGCAGAATTGATGGTGAGCAGAGGTAAGGATGTTCTCTGCCTCTATCCTTCCTCTGAATAGGACTCCCGAAAGAAAGAAAAGCTGCTTTGCAGCCAGCTTCAGGTAGTAGACTTACTGCAGAACTTCTTGGCTCAGGAGGACACTGCCAAGGGCCTGGACCCCTTGGCTTCTGAAGACACGAGCCGTGAGTAGGCAGGGAGTTTGAATAAGGGCTGCTCTGAGTGGGGAAGGAAGGGGGTTGTCAGCCAAGTCTGCTGTTTCAGGCAGGTCAGCCAGCCTTCACTCAAGTTCTCATTCTGATGGCTCATCTCAGGACAGAGGGCAGTTGCAGCCAAGGAGCAATGGAAAGAGCTGAAGGCTACTTACCAAGAACACGTAGAGGCCATCACAAGTGCCCTGGCCCAGGCCCTGCCCCAAATGGAAGAGGCCCAAAGGAAGCAGGCACAGCTCCAGGAGGCCATTGAACAGCTTCAGGCCAAGGTACACCCAGGGTTAGGGGAGGGAAGGGCACACAAAGAGGAGGAGGGGAAAAGTGAGCAAGTTGGGTTGGACCCACTGGCCACATACCAAAATCCAGCTAGAAAAAATACACTCCTCTTCTTCCTGTCCCCTTCCTTTGCTTACCTGCAGAAACAAGTGGTGATGGAGAAACTCAGAACAGCCCAGAAACAGTGGCAGCTGCAACAGGTGGGTCCATCCCCCTAGGAAAATATCTCATCCCACTACCATGCTATTGCATAAGCTAAGTCCTCTGCTTGGAAAACAATCTCCTTTTCATCTGTGAGGCATTATAGGTACCAACATGGGCTTGAATCCTAACATCACCACTTACAACTGTTTGACCCTTGGGCAGTCACCTAGCTTTCTGTTTTTCTGTTTCTTCATCTGTGAAATGGAGGCAATATTAGCACCTACTTTAAAGAGTTGTTAAGATGATTAAGCAATTAGTACAACAAGTGCTTAATATCTGGCACACAGCAAACTAAGTATCCTTTTCTTTAGGCCTTTGGTCCTGCCTATAGTGAGTAGGGTCCTTCCTTCCATCTATGGGTCTGAGCCCTGAGCTGGGTCTAGGCTGAGGGGATTAGAGGAATGGCTCTCGGTCCTCAGCATCTGGTGAGCCCTGTCTGCATTCTCATTCCCAATAGAAGAAGCATCTGCAGCATTTGGCAAAAGTTTCTGCGGAGGTGAGGGAGCGTCACATAGGAACTAAACAGGAGTTTGAGCAGCTATATCAGGAACTTGGAACCCTGAAGCAGCAAGCAGGGCAGGAGCAAGACAAGCTGCAGAGGTGAGCTGGGAACATGGATTGCAGGCCCCCAGAAATGATCTAGTTGAGGTTCCCTTTCTATACACACCTTTTTTTCCAGGCACCAGACCTTCCTCCAGCTGTTATACATGCTGCAGGGTAAACTGCTACTCCCTGAGGCAGAGGCAGAGCTACCACAGGAACTGGATCTTCCTGAGAATAAGCCTCAACAAGTGACCCAGCCCCAGGAACAGAACATTGGGTACACCATGGAGAGTGACAGGAGTGTGTCCTCCAAGGTGAATGAGAGATGGGACAGATGGGCAGGGAAGTGAAGAGAGAATCTGAGGGATGGGCCTTACCCACTGCCCATACTATGTCTCCCCAAGGCCGACTGCCTACAACCTGCTGGAGATGCAAGTTTGGCATGGTTTCCCAGGGACAACATGGGGGAAAGATCCTAGATCAGGTCAGACTCTCACTCAGGGCCTTATGTTTCTTGACTACAGGTATGGAAGGAGGGAGGGCCTCTGGTTTACCTCTCTGTATATGAACTCCACTCTTCATGGAGTTCTGTGAGATGGGAAGAAGTTATCTTATGATTAAAGCCTAGCACCTCATCCCTGTGCTCAGCCTACCCTAGACTGACCCCTCTTTTATTTTTCCCCAACCTTATGGCCCTACGCTCACTGCAGGTGGACTGTCAACTTCTGAGTACAGCCTGAAATCTGGCCACAGCCCAGGTCAGGGCAGGCTCTGGATTCTGTTGATTAAAAGCCCTGGAGCTCTCTCAGTTGCCTATTTGTGTGTTTATCTTCACATGTTTGTGGGAAGAGCCACATCCAAAGGCCAACAACTTTACAGGTACTGGGACTGGTGTGAATTGAGAGGGTGCAGATGGCGAGGAGGCCCTGGCCTGGAGCCTCAGGAGTTGCTTGCCCAAATCAATATGATGCAAACATGCTGAGCTTAATTCAGAGAGGAGGAGAAGGCTTTATGCAGGTGGTTAGATATGGTAAGGTAATTTTATCACTGATCCAAATGTTTATTGAATCCCTGCTAGGTGCCAGGTTCCTTGCTGTGAAATGAAGCTACAGCAATAGGCTTGTCTGACCAGTCCCTGGCCATGTGGAACATAATGAGCATGAATGAGTAAATGGGTAGATAAGATGATTTCAGAGTGGTAAAGCAGGGTAGTAAACTAAAACAGTAATATGATAAAGAACAGTACTAAGAGAATATAGAGGACAATATAGAGACCGTTATCTGTCTGTGTTGGCCTGTCTGTGTGAGTTAGCAAGTGTGTGTGTGTGTGTGTGTGTGTGTTTCTGTATCTGTGTTTGTTGATTTTAGTCTCCATCTTTCTGTGTATCTGTTGCTGGGTATGTGGACAGTGGGGACCACTGCTGTGTGAGAGAGATTGAGATTGCATCCCTGACTGGGAGTATGAGAATTGCTATCTAAGAGAAAGCAAGAGAGATCCATGACAGTTCAAGTGGAAAACCCATTTTTGTATATGTGAGAAATAACAACATCTCTTTGAGAGAGAGAGAGACACTGGGGCTCTTTGTTTTGGCAAAGAGAGATTTTCAAGAAACATTGGTCCCTCTTCTATCTCAGACTAGGATGCCTTTCTCTCAGGTGGTGATTGAGATCCCTGTGCGCTCTGATGGTTTACTCTGTTTTCCTGAGTTGTCTCTAGTTTTCCCTCAGACTGTTCTTTTAATGTTTTGGCCCCATTTTTTAGGTATGAAATAGAGCAGATATCAGAGGTCTTTGAGGGCAAGCATCACGACTAAATGGGGTGGGGGGACAGTCAGGATTGAGGATACTCCTCTAGGGAGCACACAAGTACCTAGAAAGGTTTCCTCAGTCTAATCATCCCACCCCTTCCCACATGGTCCTTGCACCCCAGATACTCAGGTCCATCCTTTCCTCTCTTCCTACCGGATAGAATCCCCTACTGTTACAGTCTGGTTTCTTTTTATAGTCTCATGTACTTTTTGTAGCACAAAGGAGAGAGCAAGAATTTATCCCCCCTAGGAAAGGAGTGTCTAGTAAGGGATACTGGGGTACGGGTTGGGATGGTATGAAGTTTCCTTGTCCTTGCATGTGTCAGCACATGGTGGCTGGTGGAAGTCAGAAGGGAAGGGAAGACTCCCACAGAGCTCACCAGGCTGGGTGTGAAGGGTAATAGCCTGAGATATGCCAACCCAGGGAATAGGGGAGGAGAATGGAATCTTGAGTCGAGCAGAAGCATCTTTACTGACAAGCTCAGGATTTAAGATTTATTTTCAGATAGAAGCCAGATTTCAGTTTGCAGATATTCTCAGCTCCCTCTTAGGTTCTCCTAAGGACTATCCTTTTCTTCATTCATTGACACTTGCATAACATAGACCTGTAAAGATTTAGCTTACTCCATTAAATGAATAGGAAAACTTTCTTTTTATGTTCTCTGTAAGAATAATATTTTCTTTTTTAAACACAGTAAATTTTTTTATGGTGAAACATTATTTTGCTTATATTTTTCTAGTCTTTGTATTTTCTAGGATTGTCATATTTTTCTAGGAATTTTTCACTTCTAATTTTTTGAATTATAAAGTTATCATAATCTTTTTTATCCTTTTTAATATCTGCAGCCTGTTTTAGGATGGTCTACTGTTATATTCCTGATTTTTTTGTGCCTTAGCCAATTGATCCATGTTTTCAGATGTTAAATCATTCATTTTTGATGAATAAGACTGTCTTTTGCGATTTGCTGTTGTACATTCATTCTGTACATTTATTAGTCATATCTTGATCATTTCCTACCCTCATATATGTACACACACATGCCACACGCACATGCACAGTCCTGAAAAGCAGACATAATTGGGTCAGATGGTATTTGTTGCTGTGGAAAAATAAACCTCAGGAAATAAACATTTTTATATATAAAGAGATAAATTGCCCAAATTACTGGTTGTTCACCAAACTCACACAGCTACACTACATTTCCTACCCTCTGGCTTTAAATAAGGCCATGTGACTGAACTGTAGCCAAGTAGATTGAGACAGAAATGATGAATACTACTTTTAAGCCTGGCTCATGAAACCCTTCCACATACCAACTTCTATTCTTTTTCTCTGACCACTGGCTAAATGGAGAAGACAGTGAGGATCATGAGGAAGGTAGAGACACAAAATTGAGAGTACCTGGGTCCTTGCTGTCACTTGGAAGAAAACAGCCTGATCCAGGACAACTGTGTCAGACCATTCTGTGAATAAGGAAGAAAAGTTTTGTATTATACGAAGCCATTGAAACATTGAAGTTATTAGGTAGATTAAAACTTCTGGATTCAATTCTGGTTTCCTCAGGCAGATATCTCAGGAAAATCTCCTTTAACCATTTGTGATAATAATTAAACATTTATTGGACTGGAAAAAGCCACTTCTTGAAGGGTCATCTCAAGTAAGAAAAATATTGTACTTTGCAAATGGACTTTTGGTAAAAGGCAGGGATAGTAGTTTCATTAAATTCATTTCCCACACCAAAGAAGCAAAAATATTACCACACAGAGCTTCACTCACTATTTCTTCGGTCTTTCTCATTCTGTGCTTAAATTCCAAGACATACCTGATTTGAAGAAGTGATTGCTGAACTGTTTATAACTTAAAATATATAATAAATCATAAAATATCCCTGTGTTCTTAGGGAAACTGAACAGTTTGAATTATTTTATCATATATTTAGAAAGTTTATAAACTCTTTCAACATGAGTTTTAAAGTGACTAATGAATTTTCTCTACTGACCCCTGTTCTAAACATCAGACAAAAGTTTCATCTGGTAGGTTTATAATATGCTCAGCTTCAACCTGTATATTGGAGAATTGCTAAATGTTACCCTGATTTTCAAATATTTTACTCTTCTACTTTGGGAAATTTCTTTCGTTTACTCAGCTGCTGCATTTTCTTTGCTGTATTCATTTAATTATGCACATTCATAATAGTATTTCTGCTCCCCCTTTTTACTTCTCGCATCACTTTTAGTATTACTTCTCGCATTACTTATTTCTTAGTCTGCTGTAGCCTGAGGAATTTATGAGAAGGTGAATGAATCACCATCATACATGGTTCTCAAAATGTGTTTTTAATGAGTATTTGCAGTCTCACAATTCAGTGTTGCTATTTTGGATCCAAGTACTCTTGAAGAATTCATGCTTCAATAGGAAGTTTTTTTAAAAGGCCACAATGATTATCTCATATGTGCTTCCTAATTTACAGAAGTCACATGTCATTTTTTACATTTTAATATTTATTTTGTATTTACTTTCTCCAACCCCTCTTTGCCCTCACATCTCCTCCCTTCCACTCAATCAAACATACACACTAGATTGAGAACTATTTGGGATAGTAAAATTTGGAGATGGCCGTTTTCTCATTTTGTTTTCCCTGAACTCATCAGTCTTGACTTTTTTTTTTTCTTTTTACCTATAAATAACATCTTATTATCTTTAAAAAAAAAACAAATAAACCTCAAACAATTGTCTCTCACGTATAATTAAAAGTGAAAATGTTGATTTTTCAACATTATGGTGTTTCTAAATATCTCAAGATAACAGTTGCTATAGCAATACCTGTTAGATGTGCAAATGCAAGACAATCTTTAAATAAATGTTTTGATTGCATCTGTTTCTAATTGGTATTATCTCATTTCTCTTATTTTCATTAGTTTTTGCAACAGTTTAATGGGGTAGATATTTATCAGCAGTTAGAAGTTATAGACTAAAACTACATTTTGTAATTACTATCTTAAAAATATGAGTGTGTTTGTGATACTTTGACAAACCTTTAAAAAGCAATATATTTATCACAGCTATCTATGACATATCTTAAAAGCAAAGAGCCAGGATTTGCACTGTGACCATGTATTCCACCCGGCACTCAACATATTTTATGGAATGTACTGTTAACATTTCTCATTTTGTGCTATCTCTATGCCTTTTTTATCTGTGTATTATTACTTCAGAATACACTGCTTATTGCATAATAGGTATCCAATAGTTGTTTCTTTTCTCATTTTCCTTATAACTTTCAAACCTTACATTCCAGCTTGGGCTGAATTCATCAAGCACTATGTCAAGATACATTTAAAATTGCAATTGAATTGGGGTAGGTGGAGCCTTAAAGGAATTCTCCAAATGAGTGAGGGAGGTTTGTTCCACGCTACAATATAACATTCTGAAGTATATAGATGATGCAATTTTTATTATAGAGAAACATACATAACAAAATTTATTTTAACTATTTTTAAGTCTATAGTTCAGTAGCATTAGGTACATTCAGCTGTAAGCACCATTCAACTCCAGAACTTTTTCATCTTCACAAACAGGAACTACCCATTAAACAATAACCCACCATTCCTCCCTCCCCCCAACTCCTGACAGCCACCATTCTAATTTCTGTCTCTGAATTTGACTACCTTGATCTCATATAAGTGGAATCATACAATATTTGTTCTTTTGTGACTGGCTTACTTCTGTTAGCAGAACGTAATTGTTCCCTTCCCTGTCCAAAAGGTAAATATATGAGATAATGGATGTATTAATTAACTCAATGGTGGGAATCCTATCACAAGGTGTACATATATCAAACCATCACATTTTAAAAGAAGACAAATGGTCAACGAATACATGAAAAGGTGCTCAGCATCATTAAACATCAGAGGAATACAAATCAAGGCCACAATATATATATATGACATATACATCAAATTATCACACATTTGTATTTCAATATATTACAATTTTATT